ACTTGTTGGGTCTTTCCCAAAAAGACTCATGGCTGTATTCGATCAAAAGGGTGCTTCTACTAAATACTGAGCAAAGGGTCTGAATACTTAGGACCATGTGATATTTCAGTTTTTTTTTTTTAATAAATCTGCAAAAATGTCAACAATTCTGTGTTTTTCTGTCAATATGGGGTGCTGTGTGTACATTAATGAGGAAAAAAAATTAACTTAAATGATTTTAGCAAATGGCTGCAATATAACAAAGAGTGAAAATTTTAAGGGGGTCTGAATACTTTCCGTACCCACTGTATGTATGCATGTATGTAATGACAAAGGTAAATAATAAAATATTTTATATAGTGATACCAGCAACACTTATGGAATAGAGAAGTCAAAATAATCAGAAAGTGGAACTGACAAGCATAATAACATAATTACAAGTAAAAGAGACATATTTAAATATAAACAAAATATAAAATATTTTAAGGACCAGTTGTCACTATTAACTATCATGTATATTACTAGCATATTGGCTGTTTATTAGTATTTATAAAGCACATATTAATGGCTTATTCTGCAGGACCATATTTTAGTTCCCTTAATCTCTACCCCAGCTACTACCTTACTAACTATTAATAAACAGCACATTAGGAGTTTAATGAGGCAAAAGTCGTAGTTAACAGTAAGTTAATATTTAGAATTGGAGCTTAAAGTCTTGTATTGTGAACATGATATTATGTCCACATAGTCTACATCAAACATCTTCATCAATCAAACTTTTCTCTTTTCCTTTTTTTTTTTGACTTTCACTTCAGAAGTTCATGTTTTAACATTTTTTGTCTCTGTGTCTGTTTCTATGGCTGTTTCAGGTCTCAGTTTGGTCAAAGCAGAAGCTTTTCTTCACTCAGTCATAAACAGCTGATAATGAACATGGAGCCTCTCCTACCAGCATTGAGCTCCAGCAGGGAAAACAGAGACTCCTCCGCTAACAACGGTAACACACCTGCATACATATACACATTAACAGTGCACCTTTCTCCCCTGTAAAGATCTTTACCCCTAAAAAAATGAAAAGTACTTTAAAAAAAATACTAACAAATATGATTCTGATCCATACACGAGACTCTAGTCATATTAGTATTCTAGCAAGCTGTTTTTATTCTACAAGAAGGTGAAACCTTGCATGAAAAAATGACCCGGTGCACCTTTAAAATAGACGGTGTTGCCAGGTATAACACCCTCAGTTCTCCAGGGATCTGTTCAGATTGAGCCGATGAGCTGCTGGTATCTGTAGAGACTCCAATCAGAGCTTGTGAATCTCCCAGCTGACGGCATGTTAGCAGTGATTAATACGAGGCATGCTCAGGCTTGAGCTGATTGAGGTGTGCCTTAAAGCAATGACACACAACTACACACATGATCATGATCATGAAGATAGAAGTTGCTGGTTTAATGAAGTCTGTAAACTGAATCAATTAGCTGTTTAAACTGGAGTCATTGAGGCTGAGTGAAGAAGGAGCAGGACTAGACGTGGAGTCCGTGTGAGGAGACCTGAGGCTGCTTTATCAATGCTAAGCCCTTCACAGATCCAGTTACCAGAGGACAGGACAAGCTTTAAGGACTGAATGTCACACTGGCCCTTCTCAGAAGTTCCCTTCACATCCTGTATGAAAACAATGTGCTTGCTAAAACAGGCTACCACTACTACACTATAAGAAATAGTGAAATTTACAGTTAAAATCTGGCAGATTTGGTTGCTAGAACTTTACCATAAAAATATGGTAGCAACATTTTAAGTTTGACAGATTGGACTTAAATTTACTGTAAAAATGCATATTTCATTTACTGATACTGAATCTACTGAAGTACTAAAATCAGTTTTGAACTTTATAATATACTGACAACCACCTTATAAACGGATGATAAACGGTGATGAATCAAAGTTCATCACAAGTAATCTTTCCACAAGTTGCGGTAAATACTAATATAAAGAAGGTGCTCAGTGTCATTCACACAAATACTAAACACCACCATGACACTAAAATAATACAATGAACATTAATTTAACAACATTAGATGTAAGATAAAACCCTAATGTACATAGCTGATAACAAAAAGAAGAAATATGTGACACGGGGAATTCTGGGTATGTCAATTTATTTATTTTTGTTACTCTGTAAATTATTAGATGACTTGTTATTGTTCATTTCCAAACTCTATAAATTGTAGTATTTTACTAAATTACATTAAATGTATCATTAGATTTATTATAGTTTTTCACCATATATAGTAAGGAAACTTGCTACTAACCAATTAACAGGTTTTTACAGTAGCATTTTTACATTTTTAGTCTTTTACCGTTAAAATTATGATCATTTTTACAGTGTAGATATTGATCATAGATAGAGATTGGAACAAACTAGTTTATTTTACTAATTTTAAACTTGCTAAGTCTGCTAAAACTCGACAGAAATGCACTATAAACCTATTTAGCTACTTGTCATTAAATTAGATTTGATATGTTTTTTTTTTTTTTTTTCATTGTTCTGGTATGATTTTTGGTGTTTTTGTGCAGTACCGAATCACTAGGGATTGAGTTGTAGAGTCAAACTGTTTCAGTTTCCACCCAGGACAGCAGTGACTCATACTTGAAAATCTGGCTTCTCTTTGGTGCCATGAATTTGTCAGACTCTTGGCCAGGTTTTGTGTGTGTCTTTGCACCCCATGTGCTCTGTTACCCAGTTTCTGTCTCTCGTGTTTTTAGTTAATTGTTCCCAGGTGTTTCCAATGTTGATTGTCATTAGTTCCAGGTGTCCCTCGTCTTCCCCTCATCAGTTCCTGTGTATTTAAAGTGTGTTCCAGTTCTTGTTCTTTGTCAGCCGTTGAATGTCATTCTGTCGTCCTGATGTGTCGAGTCCTGTGATCCCCACCCTTGGTTAATAAAACCCTTTTGATTTATTCTACTCCGTGTCTCCTCGCTCCTTCATTCCTGTGTTCCTCGTGTGTGAAACGTGACAGAACGGCTGACCAAGACTGTAAGCGGCGTTCCTTCTCTCGTGTTTTGTTTTTGTGTTTGAACAGTCTTTTGTTTTCCTTTTTCTCCCCTGTTTGTCTCCGCGGTATGAAGACCCCCCTTCTGTGAAGCGTGCTGGCTGCGCCGTTGTCTAGCCTGCCAGCCGGGGTTTTCTCCAGCCCGCTGACTGGGCCGATGTCAAGCCCACCAGCCGGGGCTTCCTCCAGCCCGCTGGCCACGTCATTGTCAAGCCTGCCGGCCGTGGCTCTCTCCAGCCTGCCGGGCTCACCGAAGACAAGCCTACCGGCCGCCCAGATGTCGGCTTGCCAGCCACGCCGAGTCAAGTTCACCGGCCATTCCGATGGCAAGCCCGTTGCACATTCAGATGCCCGCCAGCCGGGGCTATCTCCAGCCCACTGACCAGGCCGATATCAAGCCCGTCAGCCGGGGCTATCTCCAGCCCGCTGGTCACGCATATGGCAAGCCCACCGGACTTTAATATGGCAAGCCCTAGGACGTTCAGCACTCTCACCCGCCAACCACGCTTTTTCCCCCCGATCCAGAAGAGGAAACTAGGGGTGAGGAGAAGGGTGTCGGCTCCTACCCCAGAGCTCGCTCCAGTGTTGGCCCAGAACACGCCTTTTCCCCCCGATCCAGAAGAGGAGACTAGGGGTGGGGAGAAGGGTGTCGGCTTCAGTCCCAGAGCTCGCTCTAGTGTCGGCCCAGGCCCCAGAGTTCGCTCCAGTGTGGACCCAGACCACACCCGTTCCCCCCGATCCAGAAGAGGAAACTAGGGGCGAGGAGAAGGGTGTCGGCTGGGGCCCCAGAGTTCATTCCAGTGTCAGCCCAGGCCCCAGAGCATAGCCCACGGAGGGCTCCAGATCCCCAGTCAAGCCCATGGAGGGCTCCAGATCCCCCGTCGAGCCCAAGAAAGGCTCCCGATCCCCAGTTCAGCCTAGGAAGGTCTGTCTCTCGTGTTTTTAGTTCATTGTTCCCAGGTGTTTCCAATGTTGATTGCCATTAGTTCCAGGTGTCCCTCGTCTTCCTCTGATCAGTTCCTGTGTATTTAAAGTGTGTTCCAGTTCTTGTTCTTTGTCAGCCGTTGAATGTCATCCTGTCGTCCTGATGTGTCGAGTCCTGTGATCCCCAGCCTTGGTTAAGAAAACCATTTTGATTTATTCTACTCTGTCTCATCGCTCCTTCGTTTCTGTGTTCCTCGTGTGTGAAACGTGACAGAATTCATCAGCATAATGCTAAAGAAGCTTCTGGCTTTTTAGAGTGGAAATTTACAACTCAAGCAAGTGAAATCAACATGGCTTTTGATTAAAATAAACCATTTGTTGGCTCACCTCTTAGATATTATAGTGGCTTTGCAGGTTGATTTGTTAGATTAGAAAACATTAATGCTGATCTGCTTTGCGTGAGAAATAGTTAACTTGTCTTTGAGTCTTACACGGTGTTGTTTTTGATTGTTTTGCACCACAACAGTTCATTCAGTAACACTTATGTTGTTACAAACTGACATTACTTTGTTCTGTAAAACACTAAAAGATAATTTTAGCAGAATGTGCAAGCTGCTGTTTTCCATACCATGAAATTGGTTAGTGATTTATACTGCCAAACCAAAAAGAAACAACATAATTGTATAAATGCATAAATTCTATAAATCTATGCGATAAGCTTTGTGTGAGGAAAAGACAATTTAAGAGCTCATAAGTTCTCAAATCTCATTTGTGGTCAGTTATATATATATATATATATATATATATTTATTAGAGCTGTCTATCGATTACAATTTTTAATTGAATTAATTACATGATATGGCTATTAATTATTCTAATTAATTGCTAATTAAATGTGGCCATGAAAATACTCCCAAAATATAATTTAAAGCTATTATTGTGTTACATGAGAAAAGTATCAGTAGACATTACAAAAGCTTTAGAAATAAATATTTTGATCAACTTAAAATGTATTACACATTTAGGCAACCATAAACTATAGAACATAAAAGAAGATAATCTGAGAAACATCTCAGTATTTTTTGTTCATACAGTGAAAGTCATTGGTAACCAAATCAGCTTGGTTACTAACAGTCGTCAAAATACCTTCATGTTCCACAAAAGAAAGAAAGTCATACAGGTTTGAAACGACATGAGGGTGAGTAAATGATGACAGAATTTTCATTTTTGGGTGAACTATCACTTTATTTTTTATTTTTAATGAAAGTATACTTTGAATAAGAAACTAAAACTGCCAGTAGGTGATGGTAAATGTCTTTATGAGAAAGTCATTGAGTCATTCATTCATTCGATTCGTTCAAACTGCTGATTCATTCAGGAATTAAGTAAATGGCTCTCTTTATGAATGGGCCATTGAATCATTGGTTCACCCGGTTCATTCAAAACATGGATTCATTCAGAAACAAGTGTTGCTCAGAAATGCACAACAGTTATGCTGTGGCTTTATAGGTCATATTTTCATTGGCAAAATTTATCAAAAACAGAAAATATTGTGTTTAAAATGTCACACAATAACTTCTTATTTACACAACTGTTTTATAAAATCACATTTGCACTCGTGCTATTCAAGACAAAAACAAATCTCGTAATATTCGTGATATATTGTGATATTACACTCGCTGCTTGTTTGATATTGCTTAAAGGGGTCATATGATGCGATTTCAATTTTCCTTTCTCTTTGGAGTGTTACAAGCTGTTCATGCTTAGATAAGATCCCTAAAGTTGCAAAGACTAAAGTCTCAAACCCAAAGAGATATTCTTTATAAAAGTTAAGACTCGTCCTCGCCCTCCTAAAACGCCTCGTTTAAACACACCCCCACATGTCTACATCACTGTGTGGGTAGATTTGAATAGCACCGCCCAAATGTTCACGCAAAGAAAGAAGGCAAAACTTTTATTCTTGCTGTAGTATTGTTTCTGCAGCCACCGCCATGTCGTGGAGATGCTGTGTTTCATTGTGAAAGCGAAACTACTTTGTTTGGCCTTCCAAAAGAGGACACGACTAGAAATCA